TTCTTCAAAGCCAAGTGGCATCTGGAGAATTAGATATAGATGCAGAGATGGACAGTCGTGATACTCATGTTCGTGCTAAGGTTGCTATAGAGAATCGTGACCGAATGCGTTCTGCACTTGGGATTAAAGATGATTTCATCGATGGAACATCTTTCGAAAAGTTTTTATTTTTTCGAATTTTTTTGCCTTTTCCTTACGTGAGTCTATACAGTGAAAATTAAAGTTGCCGTTGTACAATCCACCTCAAATTTATTTTTCTTAATTTTATGATATTTTTAGCAAGATTATTGCACTGCATTGCAAATAATTTGGTATGTAATCCAGTTCACTGGAGAATCTTCCGTCCAACTTAAAGTCTGAATGGAAAACCTTATTAAATAACCCAAATGAAATAAAAATTTAGAAATGCATAAGATGATTATTTGCAAATGATTGTTTGTTAATTTTCAGATTAAACAAAAGTGTTGATTTAAAAGTAGATGAAATTGAAAAAGGCGATTGTAAAAGAAAGAAAAAAAAGAGTGACGAAGTAAGTTCTTTTTTCAGAAGTTTTTTATGCGCGTAATCTTTCTTCCATTAAGTATTGCATTTGCATTTGTATATGTCAGATCAAAAGATTATGTCAAATGTATTTGTTATTCCTTCATTCTTGACAAAAAAAGTTGTACAGTATGAAGACCACTTCGAATTTTTTGAAATGGTCTTTATACTGTGTAGTGATGTTCTATTTCATAATGAAAAGTTATCGGGATGGTACTGTATATTTCTCTTTTTTGAAGTTAACTGATTAGGAGTTTGTTTTTACTGATTGTACTTTTGAGGAAAATCCTACTGTTGTATTTGGACTTTCAAGTTAAGGTTTTCAGGTTAAAAAACATGAGAAAATGCGAAAGACAGAATCATCATCTTCCTCGTCTTCATCATCTGAGCAGTCGTCATCCGAAGATTCCTCAGAATTTAGTTCTGATAGCGACGACAGTTCAACTAATTCAACTGAGGAATCTAGCGAGAATATTTCAAGTGAAGTATCAGAAGCTAAAGTACGAAAGAAAGTTAGTGGAAGAAATTTGTCGGAAAAGACTAAAGAGTCGTAAGTTTCTTTCTGTTTCGAATGTATACCATTTCATTACTGCAGTACATTTTGTGTAACATGTTTGTAGCTAACTACGGTTTGATACAACAAATCTTTAAGTCCCAGATAACATTGATATCAGTAGATCTACATGAAAAATAGTTTTTGAAGCAAAAACCTTTAGTATTTGTTCACGAATACTATTGTTCTCTATTTTGGCTGGTGTTTGGTATAACTTCATTCTAGCAGGCGTTCATATCGGCATGAAGTTCGACATTCTTGTGATCGACGCAATGATGGTGATGGTAATAGTTTTTCCGATCGTGAAAAATACCAGAGGCATAATTTACCGGAATATTCTGATCGTTCTCATCATCGTCAACGTCACAGCGATGACCATTTTGACTGTCGAAGGTACCTACTTTTTTACGATCTGGAAATTAAAATGAATTATTACTATCTGCATTGTTTAGGTCGAAAAATATTGATTGTTACCGACATCCTTAACTTTATTTATCATTGATTATTATTATCTTGTTTTAATTTTGTAGTTCTGCTAAGAAACTTCCACGCCGGATCATTGTGTCAAATCTTTATCATTTTCGCCTGTTTTTGGTTCAGTAATTTTTTTATGGATTACAGATCTGGTCGATCATATGGATATGATGATGGAAGACGGCGCGAATGGTGCTCTAGGCGTTACTATCGTCAAAACCATTTAGGAAGTAAGTTGTTCAATTTTTTAATAGAAATGGGTCATAAGTTTGTGACAATAATATGGAAATTCTTAAACTGAAGAACTGGATAAGCATTAAAACGTTACATATATGTTTATAATTTTTGATGGAGTGTCGACTTAGCATTGAAAGTCAGCAATCTGTGAGGAAAAAAGGTGTAGTTAGAATTGAGAATATTTTATTTAATATTTTAATTTATTACAAATGAAAGTCATTGGAATTTTTGTTAATAGATGATCGACATCGGAAACATGACCGTGATGAGAAAAGTTATCAATGTCAAGAAGAAAAGCGTTCGCATCGTAGACGTCACTGTTCTTCAGATTCAGATACCGACCACAGACAAAAGCACCGTAGTGCAGATCGTAATGATGATGGAAGCCGGAAGCAATTAAGAAAGCATAGTTCAAGTGTGGAGAAAAAAAAACGTCGTAGATCAAAATCGGAGGAAGTCGTACCAGATACGAAGGATATAAAAATAGAACCTGCATCAAGTCCTCATTCCCGCAGCATATCCTCACAAAAAATTTCCTCATTAATGACACCACTCGAATCGAATCGAAATACTGGGAATATAACTCCATTTTCGGAATCCAGTACCGCTGAAATAGCGTCAGGGAAAAAACGGGCTATGGATAACGATGAGATGGAAAGTGATGTTCGGCAATCTGATACGAAAATTCATAGCTCTATTGAAGATAAAGAAAAAGTGGAACGAAGTTCAGGCAGTAAACGGGGGCGTTATCACTCATCGGAGATTCATGAAAGTGTAGAGAAAAGATATCGTCATGATACTTCAGAATCTGAAGATGAAAGTCAAAGTAGTTCTAGTTCTAACGATGAATTCTTGCATCAGTCAGGTAGTACACATAGTTCTACTACAACGTCAAACGGCGGCATGGTTGAAAATATTTTGAATGACAATTCAGATGAGGTACACTCACCGTCACATTCTCCTGAACAAGCATCAGAAACAGGAGATCGGAATAAGAAGCTGGGAAGTGAATCGAAATTCTGCCGTGTGGAAAGTTACAAGCCCAGACGTCATGACTGTGATCGTTCAGTTTCTTGTGATCGGAATCATAAATTATCTAAACGGAAGTCACGTTCCAATGATTCATCGCGTAAGAGATATCGTGAAAGCAGATCCAGAAGTCATCGTTCCAAACGTCAAATAAGCAGAAGCAGTAGTCGTTCACGACACCATCGTAAATGTTCTAGTGAAAGCCGGAGAAGCACTTCTCACTGCATTCGCAAATCTACAAGTGTTTCGTCTCGAAAACAGTCGTATTCCCCAAAAAACAGTAGCACGAAACGTTCATCAGCTTCTAAATCCAAGAAATTAAAAAATCCAAAAAATGTTAAAGGTTCTGAAGACGCAGAAAGCACTAATGAAGTGCGTGTTAAATGTCGACATGATACATCTAGTTCAAGAGACGAAGACAGCAAAGACCGTGGTGGCAAACGATCTCATCGTTCCAGTGAAAGCAGCAGTCGTTCCTCTTGCAGTAGCGAATTATCGGTAGAAAAAACTGGCAAACATACGAATGATTTTGGAAGGAAACGACATCGCTAACATGCATCTCCATTACGTGAACCAATTGATGAAAGTGACTGATAAAATTAAACAAGTTGGTTTCCATTACTTTTGTTATTTGGAGATTTTAAATTGTGGTATCGAGGACCAAAACACTTTGCAGTAATTACTACTGCTTATTCCTTGATTATATAAAACCGGAAAAGCTTGTAATTATCTCATACAACTAAAATTAAAATTTGTATAATTGTGGAGAGATTATATGAGGTAAAATACAAATGCAATTTTTTAATTTGATTGTGCTTTTTCTAAAATAATAGTTGCTTAATATCTTTCTCCGAAATTATATAAATTAGCAATCCCATTTTATGATAACCATTATAGAAAATGAGACGGTTAGGCATCACAATTGCATCATTTTTAATAAAATTACAGCCGCTACCATTATTAATAATTTATCGCTACAAACTTCAGTATTATTTTTAATTGTTAAATTAAATAATTTTATTTTTATGCGAGTTATCAATCTGGTTTGAAAAATCTATTTCAGGCGATAAAGCCAATGTGGCATTATGAGAGCAGCGCGAATTTTAACAATCCGCAGTTGTTTAATGTCGAGTTTTTCAGATATATTTTTGTCACAACCCTTATTTATTTTGATTGTAGTTTTAAGTTAATTCTTTTCTCTTCTTTTTTCCAAGTTGTTGACGTTCACAGGCTCGAATGAAGCAGCTTTTTAGTACGATTTTATTTGTAGTTTACATCTTCATATCCTCAAAAATATATCTCAATATCCTCCAAATTAATTTTCTATTATCGTTACTAAAAATGAAAATCAAGTATTGTAGTTTAACTTCAGTTTTCTGGTTGCAGTAAGAATAACGATAGAAAATTTTAAGGTATCGTAGTAATAGATAATTTGGGGGAGAGAGAGTGTCATCTAACGTGAAAAAGTGAAATTGCTGTTATTTTTCTCAAGGTACAGATAGAGATTTTTTTTTGTATTTTGGATATGCTTTTAGATTTATGAATTATTTTCTTTAAAGAACACTACTTTTTCTCACTTAAAATCTTCTATTCTAGTACAGTTTGCAAGCTGCAACTCTAAAACCAATTGTCGATTTTTCCTGTTTCACAAGTTTTACAATGATCTTTGTAATTTTTTGCTTGCGAAACTCTTTGGTGGAATTGTTACATTTTAAGCGTAAAGGAAATATTTTGCCGATTTAGCTCTTTATTTTTCATTCAGAAATATATTTTAACAGGAAACAACTTAAATAAACTTTCAAAAAATTTTCATTTATTGAGATACGATTGGCTTGTACATATTTTACTTGTTTCAAAATATTCATTAATGATTGCTAGAAATTAATATGAATTACTTGCCCGAATGTATTGTTGATAAATGTGTTTCTTGCGAATGACGCAAAGTTGATAAGCAAATAAAAGGCAGTAAAGGCATCCTTCAAGTCAGTTATGTTTATTAAATACTCAGGACACGGATTTTAAAATGCTTTTGTACAACTAATGTTGCGCTAACTTATAGTTCCGGTGAGTAAAAATCAGGCTAATGCGTCAAGGAACAGTTGCATATTTTTAATTTACACAAAACTAAAATACTGACGAGGTCCTTTTTCACATTTTAATATTTCGGTAACTGCTTCAATATTAATATTGGTTGCTCCTGGATTTCATTCTTTCGTTCTTTAGGATCTCTATTTAAAAATTATGTCCGATCGTCTCGTAGTTCCTTAAAATTTTTGGATTTATTGAAGACAACAAATTTTGCAAGAAGAAAATCTGTTGAACTTTCCTGTCGAAAATTTGTTTTATAATGGAAAGAATAACATTTTAGAAAATGTTAGCGGTGAAAGCTTGTTAAAGAAGTGTATTTTTTGATTAACTTCAACTATTGCATTTTATTCTGAACGATTTTCCCACTGATATTTCATTGTCATTTCGTTTTTTTTTTTTGTTGAATTCATTTGTCATGATAAATTCGTTGTGAACTATTCATTTATCATCAATTGCCAATCGTCAATTTTTCTGTTCTGTTTTGCTTTTTGCTTTATAAGATGAACATAGTTAGTATGACTCACTTCCGCAAATCGCTATATTAGTTCAGAGGTATCTTAAAATTACAATTAATGTAACGAAAATAGACTGCCTTGTTGGTATGTGTGCGTGTGTGTGTGTGGACAGTAGGAATCGTTTGACCGTTTATTAGTATCTCAAACTTGGATAATTAAACCATAGCAATAATAAAAACGCAATATTAAAACATGAAACAAGGAAAGCAAAAAATAAATCAAACCCATAACCCCAAAGCAGGAAGAAGAAGGAATGAATGAATGAAGATTTGATGTCTTATATAGGCAATGTATACGTGCATATCACAACGCGGGAAAATAAGGAGAGATATTGGAGGATATAAGAGCAAAGGAGATCATGATTGGAGGCAAGGATGGGAAAGGGATATGCAGTGCAAGATGAATCATTTGACTGTGCTATTGGTTTAAAC